ATATAAATTTATATATACACACATATTCTCTTTCCATTAAAAGGGACTGGGAGGAGCAACTCCATTCAACCCCAGTAGCAATGAGCACACCTAGCACCCAAAGCGTGACTTCAAAATAGCATTCTCAAGGGCTCCTCAGAGAAATGGCGGATTACAGGGCTCGGCCGGGAAAGTACAAGATAAGCCTGGAACATACTGGTGTGCCAGAAAACAAGGAAGTGCTCAAAAAACGATGGGGCCATGTCAAAAGGACACAGAAGCTAAGCTTGAAGAGGTTCCAATGGGAAAATCTAAGAACAATTTAAACACCAAAATAATGACACTCGCTCACTGACTAAAATAGGAAACTGAGCTCATATACATATTAAACAAACAAACTGAAAGTTTGATGAGGAGTGTGATCAAGTTTCTCTCCACAAAACACTTAATTACGAAGAGAAGAAGAACTTTACAGTGGACAAGCTTGAAAGATACCATCTAAATCAAGTGATCAAAGTAAACATTATCAGTAATGGAACAAACAAATTATGTGCCACCTGATAAGATGCAATGAGAACACAGCATTGTTTCTGTCATAGTCCCACCAAAAATGAATAACCCTAAGTCTAATCATGAGGAAACAGCAGACAAACCTAAACTAGGGGATATTCTACAAAATAAGTGGCCTGGAATTTTCAAAGGTATCAAGGTCACGAGAGCTGAAGAAACACTGAGAAACTGTTTCAGTCTGAAGGATACTAAAGAGAAATTTTCAAAGGTATCAAGGTCGGGAGAGCTGAAGAAACACTGAGAAACTGTTTCAGTCTGAAGGATACTAAAGAGAAATGGTAACTAAAAGCAACAACTTGATGCAGAACAGGATCCTTTTTCTATAAAGGCCATTATTGAGACAATTGGCAAAAATCTGACTGGGGTATGAGGATAAGACAGTATTAACGTCTCAGTGTTAATACCTTATTTTGGTGCTTATATTTTGGTTATGTAGGAGAAATGTCTTTGTAGTAAAAACACACTAAACTCTTTGGGGAGGTGGGACATTACATGGGTAATTCTCAAATGCTTCAGAAAAAAAAGGTTTTGCTTCTATACTTGCAAGTTTTCTGTAGGCTTGTGATTTAAATTTAAAATATATTTTTAAATTTTGTCACTTACTCAATGAGATCTTTACTAGCCACTCTAATTAAAATGCTCTCCCCAGTGACACTCCTTCATGCTTGATTTTTATCACTTAGCACCTGTATTTTATTTATCTAGCTGATTGTTTCCATCCAAGAGGATCTAGGAAGACAGGAATTTTTGTCTTTTATTCACTGCTGTGTCCTGAGAGCTTAGGACATTGCCTGGAGCATAATAAGTACTCAATAAATGTTTAATGAATAAATGAATGTATAAGCCTATTAAATAAATGTTTAAGACAGACAATGACCACTATGAGGACAAGTGAAGTAAAACTGTTATTCTCATCATCAATGATAGCTTGTTAAATGTCCTTTTGGAAAATAATTTGGCAATTAAGAATCATAAAAATAGGGGTGCCTGGGTGGCTTAGTCAGTTAAGTGTCTGCTTTGGCTCAGGTTGTGATCCCAGGGTCTTGGATAGAGTCCTGCATCAGACTCCTTGCTCAGCAGGCAGCCTGCTTCTCCCTCTCCCTCTGCCTCTCCCCATTGCTCGTGCTCACTCTCTCTGTGTCTGAAATAAATAAAATCTTTAAAAAAAAAGAATCATAAAAATATTAATGCCCTTTAACCTAGAAATTCCACTTCTTGGATTTTATTCTAAGGAACTATCCTAAAATACGGGAATGGGAATGCAATCATAGTGTTAATCTGTTCACTAGAGGGTTATTTATACACACACACAGAAAGAGAAAAAAAGAAAAAAGAGAGAGAAATAAACAATTAGACAAAAAATATTGGATAAATTATGCTATAACCACAGATTAGAATTTTTTTAAAGATTTTATTTATTTATTTGACAGAGAGAGAGACAGGAGAGAAGGAACACAAGCAGGGGGAGTGCGAGAGGGAGAAGCAGGCTTCCTGCGGAGCAGGGAGCCCGATGCAGGGCTCGATCCCAGGACCCTGGGATCACGGCCCGAGCCGAAGGCAGATGCTCAATGACTGAGCCACCCAGGTGCCCCCACAGATTAAAATTTTATTTCATTTGAAATTCCATTTGTTTTGGGCGCCTGGGTGGCTCAGTTGGTTAGGTGACTGCCTTCGGCTCAGGTCGTGATCCTGGAGTCCCGGGATCGAGTCCCACATCGGGCTCCCTGCTCAGCAGGGTGTCTGCTTCTCCCTCTGACCCTCCTCCCTCTCCTGCTCTCTGTCTCTCATTCTCTCTCTCTCAAATAAATAAATAAAATCTTAAAAAAAAAAAAAAAAAGAAATTCCATTTGTTTTGAAAACCATTTCATTTGAAATTCTAATAATATGGGGGAAAGTTTTTATATATTATTATATTAAAGGAAAAAATAAACAGAATATTAATTTACAGTCTATGATTCCAACTCTAAAAATATACATTATAATAAGCAATTATTATATTGTGGTAGTTTTTATTTGTTTTCCTCTATTTTCCAAGTTTTTAGTAATATGATTGTAATTTACTTTTTTTTTTTTTTTTTTTTAAGATTTGAGAGAGAGAGAGAGAGCATGAGGGTGGCAAGGGGCAGAGGGAGAGAGAGAAGCAGACTCCCCGCAGAGCAGGGAGCTCTACATGGGGCTGGATTCCAGGACCCTGAGATCATGACCTGAGCTGAGGGCAGATGCTTAACCGGCTGAGCCACCCAGGCGCCCCATGTAATTTACATTCTTAAAATACATTTATAATTAAAAAAATATTTATTTTTAAAAAACACATCATGGGGCGCCTGGGTGGCTCAGTTGGTTAAGCGACTGCCTTCGGCTCAGGTCATGATCCTGGAGTCCCTGGATAGAGTCCCGCATCGGGCTCCCTGCTCGGCAGGGAGTCTGCTTCTCCCTCTGACCCTCCCCCCTCTCATGTGCTCTCTCTCTCTCATTCTCTCTGTCTCAAATAAATAAATAAAATCTTTAAAAAAAATAAAAAAATAAAATAAAATAACAAACACATCATGGATAAAGTTAGCCAGTTATAATATTAACCCCATTAAAGAAAGTACTGCTTAGGTGAAGAGATATACAAATCAAAAATTAACTAGTCTGTGTTCAAATATGACCAAATATAAAAGAGGCATGGGGCACCTGGGTAGCCCAGTCAGTTGGGTGTCCAACTCTTAGTTTCAGCTTGGGTCGTGATCTCATGGGTCATGGGATCCAGCCCAGCTTCAGGCTTCAAGCTCGGTGGGGATTCTGCTTGAAGATTCTCTCCCTCTGCCCATGCCCCCCAACTCTCTCTCTCTCAAATAAATAAATACATCTTTAAAAAAAAATTTTTTTTAATAAAAGAGGTTAAAAAAATTTAAAACCTGTTTGAATACAAAGTACGTTAATAGAAGAAAGCAGTTGGGCGCCTGGGTGGCTCAGTTGGTTAAGCGACTGCCTTCGGCTCAGGTCATGATCCTGGAGTCCCTGAATCGAGTCCCGCATCGGGCTCCCTGCTCGGCAGGGAGTCTGCTTCTCCCTCTGACCCTCCTCCCTCTCATGCTCTCTGTCTCTCATTCTCTCTGTCTCAAATAAATAAATAAAATCTTTAAAAAAAAAATAGAAGAAAGCAGTTTACATCAAATTAGGAGAAGAATTTGGCTGTATTAGCCTTGGGCTCCTGAGGCAAGACATGCTAAATACAACAAATACTAACACCATGAAAAAGGTGGATCAAGGTAGGTTCATCATGCCTGCCAGACCAACAAAATATCCCTCAAGACCATCTAGCACCTTCTGTTCTAATTCCATGCTCTGATTATAACTTGGCCTCCCAGTCACCTTTTTCTAGGAAGAAAATATTCTAGACCTCCACATAGCCACATGAGTACTCGAAATGTGGCTAATCCTAACTGAGATGTGCTTTAAGTGTAAGATCCACCCCAGATCTCAGAGATTTAGTATGAAAAAAAAATGTAAAATATCTCAGTATTGGTTATATATTGATTATATGTTAAAATTATAACATTTTGGATATATTGGGTTAAATACAATAATTATTAAAATTAATGTTATCTGTTTCTTTTTTAATACGGATACGAGAAAATTTAAAATTACTTCTGTGGCTCATATTTGTGATTAGTATTATATTTTTATTGATGAGCACTGATCTCAAACATTGAACAAGAATAAACAAGAATACTGCAGTCAGTATAAATGTACAATCTCCCTAAAAACCAATAAATTGACACCAGGTTTAGACAGCAGTCTCTTTGAGCTTTCATGGCACGAGTCTATCCCTCATACGTGCATTGACAAAATCAGATCTTCACTGAAGTGAGCAAATCGAGGCTCTGGTACACCTCTGAGCTTCCTGGGCACAAGCTTTGTTATTTGTCTACCTTCTATCATTTTTCTCTTGGCTCATAATCTTGTGTTTAGCCTGTATTCTTCAAGGGATAGGGTTGCATATTATTCATCTTTGTTTTCCATGCACTTCAGTGCCTTAAACAAAGGTATTAAAACGTTTTTTAGGGGTACCTGGCTGGGTCACCGGGTAGAGCCTACAACTCTTGATCTCGGGGTTGTGAGTTCAAGCCCCATGCTGGGTGTAGAGACTATTTAAAAATAAAGTCTTTAAAAAAAAAAAAGTTTGTTGGGACGCCTGGGTGGCTCAGTCATTAAGCGTCTGCCTTCGGCTCAGGTCATGATCCCAGGGTCCTGGGATGGAGTCCTGCATCGGGCTCCTTGCTCAGTGGGGAGCCTGCTTCTCCCTCTGCCTGCTGCTCACCCTGCCTGTGCTCTCTCTCTCTCCAAATAAATAAATAAAATCTTTAAAAAATAATAAAAATAAAAATAAATACTTTTTTTAAAAGTTTGCTAAATGAACTTTCTTCCACATATTATGCCTTTATCATAGCTATAGACCTCCTTACCTTAAAAAGCTTATGTACATAACATCTCCATTGGTTTTTTTCTTCACCGGGTAATTGTGACTGACTTGTGAAGACAGAACACATAAAAACCTGAAAGTAAATCACAATCATGTGAACTAAAAATAATGAATATATAACATGGAGTGATAGCTTTACAACCATCCTAGTACAGTGTATTTTACTATTAAGGACAGAGCCTTAGGGGCACCTGGGTGGCTCAGTCATTAGCCCTCTGCCTTGGGCTCAGGTCATGATCCCAGGGTCCTGGGATGGAGCCCCGAATCGGCCTCCCTGCTCCGCGGGAAGCCTGCTCCTCCCTCTCCCACTCCCCCTGCTTGTGTTCCCTCTCTCTGTGTTCTCTCTCTCTGTCTCTCACTGTCAAATAAATAAATAAAATCTTTAAAAAAAAAAAAAAGGACAGAGCCTTAGAGACAGACCACAGAATTGATATTTCATCATTATGTAATGGCTTACATTATATGACCTCTTATTTGTCCCTGAATTCCAACAGCAACCTCATAGCTGATACAGAATAATGGTGGAAGGGAAAATAGATGACACAAAAAGAAAAGATTATCAGGAGATCAATGTGATGGCTTTGGCCTCTTAATGTAGACCAGATAACAATAACCCTTTTCTCAGCAAGTAGTTTCTCAATCTTCTACCAGTTGTAAAAAAAACCTAATTCACTACTAACTTTCCCTGTGACAGCACCAAAACAACGCTGAAAACACAATCTCTCGATATGGGGCGGTGGGGGGGGGGGGGGGAGGAGGAATCTTCCTCCTAAATATCTACCCTGTCAAAAGGAAAATCCTTTTCTGAGAAATGGTGTTACCCAACAGAAAATCTTGGCTTCTTAAAATCCAGGTATGTTCCCATCTCTTATTTTAAATGAAGTGGTTGGTCTTCATTTAGCCGAGTTTTGTGACTGTTTTATAAAAGCCATTGAAAAAGCCTGAGAAACTACTGACATTAGATTTACTAGAGTTAAACATTTATAGGGGTGCTGGGCTGGCTCAGTCGGTAGAGCATGTGACTTGATCTCCGGGTTGAGTTCAAGCCCCACCTCGGGTATAAAGATTACTTAAAAATAATTTTTAAAAAATTAAAGAATGAGGGTGCCTGGGTGGCTCAGTTGGTTAAGCGACTGCCTTTGGCTCAGGTCATGATCCTGGAGTCCCGGGATCGAGTCCCGCATCGGGCTCCCTGCTCGGCAGGGAGTCTGCTTCTCCCTCTGACCCTCCTCCCTCTCATGCTCTCTGTCTCTCATTCTCTCTCTCTCTCAAATAAATAAAATCTTTTTTAAAAAGTAAATAAAATAAAAATAAAAAATTAAAGAATGAGTTTGATTCTATAGAATTAGCAACTATAATTTTTTTGTAAGATCCTATTTTTAAGTAATCTCCACACCCAACATGAGGCTCCAATTCACAACCCTGAGATCAAGAGTCACATGCTCTACAGACTGAGCCAGCCAGGTGCCCCAGTGTCCTTTGATATTTTTATAAAAATTGTGTACACACAAATTTATCTGAAGTGTGACTTACTAATCCCAATAAAAAGTATAATTTGATGAGTTTTCCTTCAATAGTTTGAGACACTTCTAACAAACTGCAGTTTAGTTGCCCTACCTAAAAGAAGAAAAAACTCAAGTCCTAAGCTACTCCCCTTTACAAACCTTCCCCACTGGACCGATTCTTTCCTTTTAGAGAAAGAAAAAAAAAAATCCTCAACCTGTGTTAAACCTCTTTATCAGTTTACATGTGGTCTGAGTGTCATTTTCCAGTGCTTTGTCTATGAGTAGTTGGTTGCTCTAATACTTTCCAGAACTGATTCGCCCTTGGGTACCAACTTGACTGAACTATTAAGACTCAGATCCAGCAATTTTGGCTTTAAATAGGGAAAATGAAAATAGGAAAACCACAAAATAACTGGCTAGCTCCTAGAGACTAAAAGCAAGGCTCACGGAACAAGTCACTCGAGTGCAAACTTAAGCATGCACCAAGTGGCGCCCGGGTGGCTCAGGTCATGATCCCAGGATCCTGGGATCGAGCCCCACATCAGGCTCCCGACTCAGCGGGGAGTCTGCTTCTCCCTCTCCCTCTGCCTCTCCCACTGCTCATGCTATCTCTGTGTCTCAAATGAATAAATAAAATCTTTTTTTAAAAAAAAGCATGCACAAAGAAGCAGCAGCAGAGTGTCCTGAGCTCCAGTTGCATTTCCACCTCAGAAAGCTTGAAAACGTACAGAACACACCGACGTTTATACTTGCTAACTTAGATGATATTCATGAATGTGAGCCCAAGAATAATTGAAATTTCAAATTAAATTAGGAAGAAAACAGCAGCTCTGTAAATCGTTCAGCGAGGGTTGGAAAACGTAAAAGAATGAATGAAAAGGAGGGTCCAAAGGAAGGACCTGGCCGGGGAGTTTCGGCCCGCGGCAGCCCGGCGGACCGGGAAGAGGAAGGAAGCGGAAGAAGCAGCGCGGGCGCTTTTCCGCCGACCGTTGGCGCCCCGGGCCCCCCGCCCCGCGCCTGCGCAGCTCGCGGACTGAAAGTTGCGGGAGCGCGCCGGCCCCCGCTTATCTAGGGGGCGGGAGGGGCGGGCGGGGCGAGAGCACGTGACCGGGATTGCGGCATTTCTGGCCCAATCCAAGGCAACTGGGAAGGCGCCCTTGCAGAGCAATCCGGGTAGCCCCGGTTCCTGACCTCCTTTTAATCTCCTGGCGTCTGGAGCCCTCTCTTGGGTCTAAGAATCTGGTTTTGCGGAACTTTTTGTCGTGCGCCCCGCAAATCAAATTAGGGGCACAGTCTGGAGTGAGGGGCGCTTTTTCTTTTTCTCCATAATTAGAGTGTCAACACTCTAATATCAAGGCCTGTTGCTCTCTCCCCAAGACGCTCAAATCCGATTTCTACTGCTGGAGACTCCGGAATCCCTGGAGGGCGTCTTGTTGTAAAAATAGTACTCTAAAAAAAGAAAAACTGGTTTATCTATATCAGGGGTTGAGGATTGGGGAAATTAAGGTAAAAATTTAAAGAGGCAGGTGTTCCATAGGACTACGATAGAGAACTTACCTCAAAAACGTCACCCCCAGAAGATCACTTTATCTCAAAGCATTTAGGAAGGCCTGGGTGGCTCAGTCGGTTAAGCGTCTGCCTTCGGCTCAGGTCATGATCCCAGGGTCCTGGGATTGAGTCCCGCATGGGGCTCCCTGCTCCTTGGGAGCCTGCTTCTCCCTCTCCCTCTGCTCCTCCCCCTGCTTATGCTCTCTCTCTCTCTCTCTCAAATTTTCTCTCTCCAAATCTCCCGCTCTGTTTATTCAGACCTTCTATCAAGATTCTAAAGTGATGACGCTGGGATAAGATTACCTACATGACATGGTTGGTAAGCCCCAGAGGAGTGTGAAAGGAAACAAGGCCTTAGAGAAACTCAGTCTGAAGGCTAAAGTCCTTGAAGTGAAAAGGAAGTGGGGTAAAAGCGGAATGGATTGAGGCCGAGTTCTAACGTTCTAATCCTTCCCCTGCTGACTGCTATGGTGACAGCCCAGGAACCTTGGCAGTGGGGGATCAACAGTGCAAAAGCATAAAATGTCAATATGTGAAAACAATTTTAAAAAAAAAAGGATATCGCCCTCCACATGTCCTATTATAGATAGCTTGGTAAAAATAAGGCCCTTCACCCGGAATCCTAGTCAGAAAATTTCACTCATTTCCTACAAATACTAAATCCTCAACACAGCAGAAATGAATTCGCTCTGAACTCAGAATATTCTCATAAATGGAATGGGGGGGTGCATAGCAAAAAGTGCTGGACTTGCACTGACTTCTCTGCCCTAGTTGCAGAGTGATTGTAATTGCTGCTTCCCTTGCAGATGCTTGTTTACCCTGGTGCTGCTGTCATTGGTTCTTTAGTTGCTTCCACTGCAGTTCTTTCCCTTACACTTAGAGGTTCTTCTACCAAGGCATCTTCCTCAGTCACAGCTGTCCATAGAAGTGATATTGAGCTCCCCTGAGCACACTGTTGCTGGCTTCTCTGGGCCAAGAGAAGACTGGGAGAAAATGCCTCCACGCAGCAAAACCCAGGAGTCTCAGTGAGCTCATTCTGGGGCTGTGGAATGAGTTTGTCCAACTAAAGTGGAGGCACAGATCATGGCAAGATGGTGCCATCTGAATATTTAATAGGAGAATCACAGAAAATAGGAAAGCTTTGAGTGTCACTTACTTCTTAACAGCTGAAATGGGTTTTGTTTTGTTTTTTTTTTTCCACCAGTGTTGTGTGCCTATTGATGGCCTGTGTCAGGATTGACCAGTAATGTGAATGTGTCCATTTTATAAGTAACCAGGTCCAAGTGATGCCTTAAGCAAAAATTTGAATTATGTGTAAATATTCATAAATTTGAACAAGTCATAGTTGCTTCTGATTCTTAGTCAGAATTGCTATTATGGGGTAACCCTGCTTCAGTCTTATCACCCAAAAAGTGACTGGATCTGTATGAGATAAAACTATTTTACCAGTATATATAGTATTTTTAGAGATGCTCCTGGAGATCAACCCATTTTGTAATTTCCATTTTGTGGTGTTATAACCTGTTCTCCTTCAAGTTAGGGCTGATCAACAGACTAACACAAGTAGCTGCCTCAGGCCAAATTACCCAAGCCAGGTTTTCAAATCTTAGGCTGGTTAGTTCATGAAAAAGGAACGCAGTAGTAGAATGCTATTATTAAGCAACAGCTGCAGGATATCATTGCATCCAGTACTAGGAACAGAGGGGAAATTTTCAGCAACTGGGAGAATGTCACATGTTCCAAAGCCTCTCTTTAAAATACAGAAGAAGAAATAAACACAATCTCTCACAGAATTGCTTCATTCTCTACCACCACCAAAAATTTTTAGTGTAGTTCTACCATTTTCTTTAACCAAGGGGAAAAAGGCTTTGAATTTTTTAAAGATGTAAAACACATACACACAAAAACATTAATTTTAATAAACAATTTCTATAGTTGAGCTATACTTCAATATTTTCCATCTCTCAAGGAGCAGAGTTCTGTAATTAAAATACCTTTTCAATATTAAACTGTAAGCAGTCACAAAAACATTAACATATTTGTGCCTTGACTTTGTACAATACATTCCAGAGTTGTCTACAAACCACTTCTCACTGGAAAAACAAAAGACAGCAAAAAAAACATTGGTTCAGGTTTCAGTCAAGGTGAACACGCAAGAATTGTTTGTATTATATTATCTAAGGATTCTGAAGATAAACGCTCTACAGTGTAAATGAAGACTTTGGATTCATTCTTTAAAACTATTGGTGTACAGGGGCGCCTAGGTGGCTCCGTCAGTTAAGCATCTGCCTTTGGCTCATAATCACAGAGTTCTGGGATGAAGCCCCAAGTGGGGCTCCCTGCTCAGTGGGGACCTGCTTCTCCCTCTCTCATTCCCCCTGCTTGTGCTGTCAAATAAATAAATAAAATCTTAAAAAAAAAAAACAACTATTGGTGTACAACAGATTTATAATCACTTTAGTTAACTATAGGTAAGTTACTTCAACTGTAGGTAACAAAGTTATTACTTCAGACCAAAATGCAGAAAGTACTGGCCCATTTGCAACTGTGGATGGAACTAGAGTGTATTACACTAAGGAAATAAGTCAATCAGAGAAAGATAATTATTGTATGATTTCACTCATATGTGAAATTTAAGAAACAAAACAGAGGATCATAGGGGAAGAGAGGAAAAAATAAGATGAAACTAGAGAGGGAGACAAACCATAAAGAGACTCTTAATCGTAGGAAACAAATGCGGGTTCCTTGAGGGGAGGTGCCTGGCGGGATGGGGTAACTGGGTGATGGACATTAAGGGCATGGGATGTAATGGGCACTGGGTATTATATACGACTGAAGAATCACTGAACTCTACTTCTGAAGCTAATAATACATTATATGTTTATTAACTGAATTTAAATTTAAAAATATTAAGAATAAAAAGTACTGGCTCAGTTTGCAACTCCAAAAGGAAAATTAAGGGAATTCAGAATTTTTTCTGCTTCTTGGACAAAAGAAAGTAAGGCAGATGATGAGTTAAATTACTACATTGTAATGCCTCATATGACATCCAAGTGTGTGAGAACTTCCAAGCTGTTTCTGTTTTTAAAAAGACCTTCAAAGCCCCCGGTGGTGGTATTCAAAAAGTGAATGTCATACACTGAAACTAATAATTAACAACAAATCTTCCATTTATTTGAAGCAATTCAATTTCAAAAACTTTAAGTTACAGCAGTCACAGAAAAAAAAAAACAGGGAAGTCAAAAACAATAAAAGAATAATCAGGAGTGCTGCATTTTTTTTTAACACTGTCATGGCTTTATTCAAAACACAGTTGCACAAAAGTATTAACTTCAAAGTTTTTAAAGGAGAGTTTTGAGGAAATTTAACACACTATATACATACTGCCATACAAAGAGCATTAAAATAGGACCAAAAACTTCTACAAAATATAAAACCCACCCTTACTTATTTGCATGAAAATACCACCCACAAAGCTAAATAAGTCTTAAAAAGTTATTTGGAGGCTCTAAATGTTGTTTTCAAACCAAAGAACTCTAATTTTGATTGCACAATAAGATGATTGATAAGAAAGTCAATATATAGATTTCATTTTAAAAATAAGTATTTTATAGTCTGGCATATACTATGCAATGAGAATTCTTAAGGACTAAAACAGGGTATTTCAACTGTTAAAAAAGGAATAAAATGTTAGTCTTTTGGAGATTCCAATCCCCCCACTGAACTTATTCCAAGAGTTTTAGTTCAGTCACTTGTGCAACTTTTTTAGTTTACCCACAAATAACTTTGTAATTTTTACTTTAAAACCCCAAGTCATACATCTGAAACTAAAAAAGAAGTTCTTTACTCAGTAATTTAAATGTGTCCCAGTATAGAAGTATAACTTCAATTAATTTGCTGATGCTAACTTTAAAAAAACTTAGATATTCAAAACAAAGCAGAAAAAAATTTAGCCAAGATTTAAAAAGCAATTGCCTTGAACACGGAGCCTCCACAACAAAAAGGGAGATGTACTTGTCTACTCATATTATTATATTTAGTAGCCATATAAAGAAACACACCCGTCCCAGATATTTTTCTATTTTTAATGGATTTCCACTTGAAAACAAATCTTAATTTTAATATTTAGTTTCAAATATTTTTCCAACTGCCCAGTATATTCCAATTAAATGCTGTATCTGGTAATACCTTAAAACTATAGGAAGAATAATTAAAGGTTCTACTCAGAAAAATTAGAAATACTTTGCAGTGTGGTATCTAAATCATTTCGGAAGCTAACTTCACAAAAAGTTGACTTGATTAATTATCAAGAGGCAATTGTTCTGACTTTCGTGGAACATCAATGCTGCTTCTGAAAGCTTCCTTTGCTTTTCTTTCTTCACCCTATTAATACAGCCTGTACATCTTGTCAACCAAGAGAGATTTACAGAAAGCAGAATCTGTTGCATAAAACTGTATTGATAATAATATTCATATTTCAAAAAATACTCAATTTCTTTCACTTAGCTTGTTTAAAACTGAGATAGTCTGAAAAGGTGGTTGAGGTATAAAAGACTAAATAAAGGTTTTCCTGGGTAGCCATAAGTTTCCCAACTTTTTTTGGAGATAGAAGGAGGGGAGTGAAACAAAAAATGAAAGTGATCATAACAGAATTGCTGGGAGGAAAATAAAGAACGTGCAGTTAAAAACAAAACAAAATTAACAACCACTGGCATGTCATGATTTTCAGCTAGAAAAACAAAGAGCTCACCTGCATGTCTCTGAACTTTAGTACAAGCATTTTTTCCTTCAAAAACAAACTCTTATTAGTCACCTGGCTTAAAAGGTTTCAGAAGCCTCCACAAAAGCCATGAACTATATTGTTGAATAGAACCTTTGTATTCTGTTCCTACTTTCTAAGTTACTTATGTGACAAAAAAGCACCCAAATACCCTTAGCCAAACAAAAACAAAAACAAAAAAGGTCATTGCCTTCAAACTAAAGATCTCTGGGTCACCTCTAAAAATATAACCAACTTATTAGTCAAGAGACTATTTTCATTTCATATTCCAGCCGACTGTGATTTCAGTTAACTTATAAATAACTTTATAACCTTATGAATGAAATGCACCAAACTACACCTGTGTAAAAGTGATCATGTTTTAATTATGGGCTAAAAATAACTAATACAGTGAGTTTGAATGAGAAAAATGAAGATTCTAAATAAATTGCTAGGGAATTTCACAATGGGGTCAAGGAAAATTTTTTCTCTACATACAATATGATCATTAACAGACTAGTAAATCTTATTTGGAATGATAAGGCAAAAATAGTAAAACCACACTTTTCCTATAAAAAGTTACAGGTTATCTTCTGTAGGGATCACTATGGTACATGAAGAAACAAAGAAGATGTGATCACTCTATTGCACACCCAGGAACATTAGGGAATCTGGTCTTAGAATGATCTAGTCATCTTCTTCATCTCCATCATCTTCAGCATCTCGTTTCCTTTTTTCCCCTCGAAGACCTTCTTCTTCTGAAAGAAGAGTGAAAGAAAAATTGTAAAATACTAAATTTTAACAAATGAATATTTGTTAAATTACAGTTTTGAATCTATCTTATTGAAAACTTAATGCCATAAAAAAATTATACGTTAAGTTTCCTCTCGGTGTACTGAACACTTAACAGACTTAGAAATCCATAAATAATGACAGCTTGCTGTGCACCCTTGTGGCCAAATCATGAAGTACAGATCAAGAACTAGGGGTCTGTCATTAAAAGAATCATTAGTAAATTTTTAAATTTATTTTGAAAGACCTAGGTAAAGAGTACTAGAGAACAAATCTGAAAAGAACATTATCTGGGAGTTCAACTGCTCTTCTCTTAGAGATAAGGCTTCATTCACCCTCTTCAAAATGAAAGACCTAAGAAAATAATAAATTAAGCTCAAGGTTATCTCATCTCTTCATACCGGTTTTGAAAATAAATGTTACAGGCTGGTGTTTTTTTTAATGAAATTATTGAATGTCCTGAAAAAATTACTTTTTTTTTTTTTTGAGATTATTTATTTATGGGTGCCTGCGTGGCTCAGTCGGTTAAGCGTCTGCCTCCCGCTCGGGTCACGATCCCGGCCTCCTGGGATCGGCCCTGCATCCGGCTCCCTGCTCGGCGGGAAGCCTGCTTCTCCCTTTCCCTCTGCCCACTGCTCTGCCTACTTGTCCTCTCTCTCTCTGTGTCAAATAAATAAATAAATAATCTTTTTTAATATATATATTTTTTAAGATTTTATTTGACACAGAGAGCTAGCGAGCGAGCACAACCAGGCAGAGGGAGAGGGAGAAGCAGGTTTCCCGCTGAGCAGGGAGCCCGATGCGGGGCTCGATCCCAGGATACCGGGCTCGTGACCCAAGCCAAAGGCAGACGCTTAACCAACGGAGCCACCCGGGCGCCCCAGAAAATTACTCTTTTATAAAGGTTGTATGGGATGACTTAGCTCAGCCAGACGTCTGCCTTCGGCTCAGGTCATGATCTCAGGGTCCTAAGATCGAGTCCCACATCCGGCTCTGCCCTAAGCTTGGAGCCTGCTTAAGATTCTCTCTCTCCCAGGGCGCCTAGGTGGCTCAGATGGTTAAGTGTCTGCCTTCGGCTCAGGTCATGATCCCAGGGTCCTGGGATCAAGCCCCACATCGGGCTCCTGGCTCAGCGGGGAGTCCGCTTCTCCCTCTCCCTCTGCTTCTCCCACTGCTCATGTTCTCTCTATATATATCTCTGTGTCTCAAATGAATAAGATCTTAAAAAAAACAAAAAAGATTCTCTCTCTCCTTCTCCTTCTGCCAAACCCCCCTACCACTTGCGTGCTCTCTCTCAAAAAAAAAAAAAAAAAAGGTTTTACACCTCTCAAGGCACCCGATGTTACCAAAATCAAATCAGAGACCAGTAATAATTTGAATTATAAACACATTCTTTAAAGTATGTGAATAATAGCTATAACTTTAATGTTAGGATTTTTTTTTATGGCTAATGTAACTCACCCTCTTCTTCCTCTTCTTCCCCTTCTTCAACATAATCATCATCATCTTCTTCATCCTTGAAAACCAAATATTCAGTTTGAGAATAAAAATCCATGACACACTTTTCACTGTTTGGTAGTAATACATTCTAACAAGAGCAAAAAAACTATGGTTATTCTTTGTTCTGACAACCTCTGCCTAACTTACATAGGTCTTTTTTAAGAACCCAACCAAATCTAGTTTATGAAAGTAAGTTATGTTTTAGACCAATGCTGTTTAAAAGAACTTTCTGCAACATCGGAAATGTTCTGTATCTGTGCTGTCCACATGTGGCTACTGAGCATTTAAAATGTGACCAGTACAAGGGCGTCTGGCTGGCTGAGTCGGTAGAGCATGCAACTCTTGATCTCAAGGCTGTGAGTTCGAGCTCCACAGTGGGTGTAAAGATTACTTAAAAATAAAAAAATCTTTAAATAATAAAGTAAAATGTGACCAGTACAAATGAGGAACTGAATTTTTCATTTTATTTAATTTTAACTTAAATAACCAAATGTGCCCAGTGGCTACTATAATGGACACAGTAACTCGACAATTTCAAAGAAAGGTTTTCTATTTTATAGAGTGAGATAGGAATTACCCAAATCCTAGCCTCAACATAGTTACATGCATTGAATAAGTCGCTTAATTTCCCTGGACCTCAGTTTTCCACTCAATAAAAGAAAGTATTCATCTAGAAAGATCTCTAAGTTCCTTCTACATCTAAAAATCTACATATCAAAACAGCAATGTCAAAAAAAATCACAAAACTTAATCTACAATTTTTGTGGAAGGAGCTGTCTACCGTTTTATATTAAACCTAACAAACCTTTCTCTTGGGGTGCCTGGGTGGCTCAGTCGTTAAGCGTCTGCCTTCGGCTCAGGTCATGATCCCAGGGTCCTGGGATTGAGCCCCGCATCGGGCTCCCTGTTCGGCGGGAAGCCTGCTTCTCCCTCCCCCACTCCCCCTGCTTGTGTTCCCTCTCTCGCTGTGTCTCTCTCTGTCAAATAAATCAATAAAATCTTAAAAAAAAAAAACCTTTCTCTTGAATAATCAGTCATAATGATTTGATCATGAACATAACACTAATTAATATTTGCCGATTCCCGGGCGCCTGGGTGGCTCAGTTGGTTAAGCGACTGCCTTCGGCTCAGGTCATGATCCTGGAGTCCCTGGATCGAGTCCCGCGTCGGGCTCCCTGCTCAGCAAGGAGCTTGCTTCTCTCTCTGACCCTCCCCCCTCTCATGTGCTCTCTCTCTCTCATTCTCTCTGTCTCAAATAAATAAAATTAAAAAAATATATATTTGCCGATTCCCTCAGAGCCTATCAAAATACGTAGGATGGTTTTCTCCTATTAAAAATGACCCTGGGGGCGCCTGGGTGGCTCAGTTGGTTAAGCAACTGCCTTCGGCTCAGGTCATGATCCTGGAGTCCCAGGATCGAGTCCCGCATCGGGCTCCCTGCTCGGCGGGGAGTCTGCTTCTCCCTCTGACCCTCCCCCCTCTCATGGTCTCTCTATCTCATTCTCTCTCTCAAATAAATAAATAAAATTAAATTTAAAAAAAAATGACCCTGGCCTCTACTTTGAATTGTATCTTTTCCTAGTTTTCATGCCTTCTCCTTTCAATTTTACTACTTCAATTTTAATCTGCTATGAATTCAGAAAATAGATTGACAAGCTTATTAGAGAACTGAATATAAAAGAGAAAATAGGTTTAGAATAACAGCTTGAACACTCTCCTACAAAGAAAATGTCTTTTAGGGGCGCCTGGGTAGATCAGTCGTTAGGTGTCTGAGCCGAAGGCAGATGCCTAACAACTGAGCCACCCAGGTGCCCCAATAAATAAAATCTTAAAAAAAAAGGGGGGGGGCACCTGGGTGGCTCAGTCATTGGGCGTCTGCCTTTGGCTCGGGTCACGATCCCAGGGTCCTGGGATCGAGCCCCGCATCGGGCTCCCTGCTCAGCGGGAAGCCTGCTTCTCCCTCTCCCACTCCCCCTGCTTGTGTTCCTGCTCTCTCTGTGTCTGTCTCTGTCAAATAAATAAATAAAATCTTTAAAAATAAAAAAATTTAAAAAAAAAAGAAAGAAAAGAAAATGTCTTCTGTTGCTATATTTTGGCTAATCAGAGGCCTTTTACACTTACCGCCATATTCCAAATAGTTGAGTTCTACCATATGTGTGAAAAAAATGGAACCAATCTAGGGTCTCCCCTCCAGCCCCACAAAAGTTTACTGCTCCTTCAAAATACTTTTAATTGGCAAATGTCAAGAACTGCTGAGTAGTTAGGGAAAAACTTGGACAACCCGTCCTTTTCACAGTATCCACAGCCCCATTTGTGTCTAGAGATACTCAACAGAACCTAATTTCCCAGCACATAGCTAGAATCCCCTGAGAAACCCGAATGCACGACATTTATATCAGAAATCAATCTTATACAATCAATTCAAACACTGAAAAGCATCCTATACCAGAACACCATCAAGATATAAGGAGGAGAAGGAATAAATGGGGTAGCCAATAGTATAAAAAGGAATCACAATAAAAATCAGGAGAACCTAAAGCTTTAAACTAAAGAAGAAAAGAAAGGAAGAGAAGGTAGAAGGGAGAGGGGACAGGGAAGAGGAAGGAAGGGGAGGGGAAAAGAAAGAAAGAAAAAAGAGAGAGAGAAATAAAGACAAGGGACACATTTTAAACATCTCAGATCTGTGGAGAATGATAAATGAGGATGTTTAAATATTTGTGATTTTTTAAAAAAACACTTGAGATATTAATCACATTTATTCTTTGATAATTTAAAAACGTCCAAGTCTCAAAAGCTAATTGCTTCTCTGGATTTTGTTTTAACAAAATATGGTTAGATTAATTGACTGATGGTTGTAAGCCTTTTTAAAAATGGAAGTATAGCTGACACACAACATTACCTTAGCTTCAGGTGTACAACATGGTGATTCAACAAGTTTGCACCTTAAGCTTTGCTCACCGCAAGTACAGCTATCATCTAAGCCTTTCGTTTTTAATATCATCTATGAGGTAACATTCCTCAATAAAAACTCGGCTTTCACCAAAGTCTTGTTCAGTAGAAACTATGGTCTTTTCCTAACTAATGGGAAAGAACATGTTTCCTCATTGTACTCTATAGTACAGAGGGATCACAATTCCCAATTCTTCTAAAGCCCCCATTCCCATTCTTTTTTTATTTTTTTTTTTTAAGATTTTTATTTATTTATTTGACAGAGAGACAGAACAGAAACACAAGCAGGGGGAATGGGAGAGGGAGAAGCAGGCTTCCCGCAGAGCAGGGAGCCCGATGTGGGGCTTGATCCCAGGACCCTGGGATCATGACCGGAGCTGAAGGCAGTTGCTTAAGCGACTGAGCCACCCAGGCACCCCTCCCCATTCCCATTTTTAAAGAAATATACTACACACATAAAGCCCTTCTTTATATTAAATTAATATGTATATTTATACATATTAATTTCTTACCTCTGAAGAGTAACAAATAAAAATAATTCTCAAACCAAAAACAGCTACTCAAATCCCATTCCTATCTCCTTCTACTTTCTTTTTAAATCTCAATAGTCTCAGAAGCTTCTACAGACTCTCACCTTCTAAAAGTAAGTTTAAAACATAACTATTTAAAAATATTTAAAACATTGTAAATATCTAAACCATTTCATCATGTTTGAAAACTTCTGGTCCATGCTAGCCAGGTACTACACTGACTTGATGTTGTGGGTATCATCTCAGAGATTTTTGCTCTATACTTGACTATGTCACTTTTATTTATTTTTTTTTAAGAGAATCTTTTTTCTTTAATATTTTATTTATTCACTTTTGCGACACAGAGAGGGAGAGAGAGAGGGAGGGAGAGAGAGGGAACACAAGCAGGGGGAGAGGCAGAGGAAGAAGCAGACTTCCTGCCAAGCAGGGAGCCCAATGTGGGGCTCCATCCCAGGATCCTGGGATCATGACCGAAGCCGAAGGTAGACCTTAAAGACTGAGCCACCCAGGTGCCCTGACTAGGTCACTTTTAGTTAGTATTCCCCAATATTCAATGGAATGATAAACACAATATCTACAGTTGGTTGAAAGTCATTTTTAAACTACTTAATACTATTTAGACTTAATGAAGAATTACTGGCAAAGAAAAAAGCCAAATGCAAAATAACATGAGTCCATTATTTTACTAAATAACTTAAAACTTAGGGGAGGGATGCCTGGGTGGCTCAGTCGTTAAGCATCTGCCTTCGGTTCAGGTCATGACCCCAGGGTCCTGGGATCGAGCCCGCCCCCCCCCCCCCCGCCTGCTGCTCCCCCTGCTTGTGCTCTCTCGCTCTCGCTCTACCTCTCTGACAAATAAATAAATAAAGCTTAAGGGAAAAATATTCAAGCTGTATACTGCCAGTAAACTGAACAAGCATGAATGCTTTTTTTTTTTTTTTTTAAGATTTTATTTATTTATTTGACAGAGAGAGAGGAAACACAAGCAGGGGGAGTGGGAGAGGGAGAAGCAGGCTTCCCGCGGAGCAGGGAGCCCGATGTGGGGCTCGATCCCAGGACCCTGGGATCATGACCTGAGCCGAAAGCAGACGCTTAACAACTAAGCCACCCAGGCGCCCCTCTCTATGAATGCTTAAAGTGCTGTTCTTCATTATTGGACAGCTGCCAACTCACTAATCCCCAAACAAGTTTAAGTTCTATTTTTTCCACATTAGTTTCATAATTAAAATGGTATCAGAAAAAAATTATCAATGATCAGTGATATTATCTATCTAACCAATGTAAAAGTCATAAGAAGAACAAATAAGAATACACTAACAATTTCTAGTCTAAATAAGAGGTATTATTTTTAATAATAAAAACTTGAATTATGGGGCGCCTGAGTGGCTCAGTTGGTTAAGCGACTGCCTTCAGCTCGGGTCATGATCCTAGAGTCCCGGGATCGAGTCCTGCCATCAGGCTCCCTGCTCAGCAGGGAGTCTGCTTCTCCCTCTGATCTTCCCCCCACTCATGTGCACTCTCTCTTTCTCTCTCTCTCTCAAATAAATAAATACAGTCTTTAAAAAAAAACTTTAACTATGAAAACAAAACTCAGTAATTTAAAAACATTACAAGAAAATAGTAATTCCCATGGGCGAAAGATCATTTGTTCAAGTCAACTGAAACTTCCTGTGAGCTTACTATGTCCCTGTCAATGTATTAGATGCTGAGATACAAAGACGGATGACCCTCCCCTTAAGGAGCTCACCATCTAGTAGAACGTGGCCAAATAAACAAGTTTTTACAAAAGTGTCTACAGGCAACAGAAGACTAACTGCGAATCAAAGATAACGGAGGAAGGAGTGATTACCTATAAAAAGTTACAGAAAGCTTCAATAATGAGACAACGCCAGAACTGAGTTTTTAAAGCGTTCACAAAGCATGATCTGGGTGTCAGTCACACAAGTATATACAACAGTAAAATGTCATGAACATGTACATAAAATCAGTGTACTTTCCCGGCTTCAACGATACTTACGTTTACCTCCGTAAAAAAGAAAATAAAGTTCATCAGAGAGCATGGGTAAAGTCATTTCAGATAAGAGTAAACAATGTATCTACAGACAGAAAGGCAAGAAATAGCTTGGTGTGACAATTTAATTTGGTACTGAGGGAGAAGACACTAGAGAAGGAAGCAGGGGCTAGATAATGATGGGCCTTGTATGCCTGGATGGCAACAGGGAAACACTGAAGTGTTTCAAGCAGGCTAGTGATATGATCACATTTGCACACAGGCTATGCAAGCACACACTGTGAAGGAGACACCCAAGTGGTGACACTGTCTTCAGAGAGACCATTTGGAAAGCTACTCCAAAACCGTAAGCAAGAAATCATCGGGGAAAGGAAAGCTGTCCTGAGTGCCTACAACGTGCCAGGGACTGGATACTTTACACATATTATCTTGTTAAATCCCTAAAAGAGGCCTAAGAGGTTGATACAATCTTAGTTTTATAAATGCAGAAGCTGAGGCTCAGAAACTTTTGTAAAATGTTTCTACCATACCGTGGCATGCAGCTCCAGGCAGAATGGGTTTGAAAGATATCTGGGTGGTAAAATCAGTAGGTGTTTATGATTATCTGGATACAGTATGAGCTGGGGGACAGTGGGGAAAATGACAGGCAGACAGATACACTCAGACCCACAAGTTAGGAACAACTTTCAGATTTCTACACAACTCACTATTTATAGTACTTGGCCCTATGCCTAAATAATTAATTTTCAGCGCACATAAAAAGTGCCTATTCACCTGGATTTCTTCTTTCATTAAATATGAGAGGCCCACTTCCTCTTCTCCCTCTCCCAGTTCTGAGCCTGCTTCATCTTCATCCTCATCTTCATCCTCCTCTTCTTCCTCCTCTTCTTCATATTCTTCAGGTGGACCAGCTTCATCTTCCTCTTCCTCTTCATCATCTTCATCTCCATCTTTAAAAATATTTTAAAAGACGAGCAAACGGCTGAGCAAATGTTTCTTGCTAGTATGTTGATCCTACCTGCCCTTGTCCCAATCACCTCCAACTCTTAAGTCAATGGGTAGATGGAAAGTATCTCAGGGTGATTTTCTTTTTTTAAGATTTCCCTTCCAAGGGGTGCCTGGGTGGCTGTCGGTTAAGCTTCTGACTCTTTTTTTTTTTTTTTTTTTTATTAAAGAGATTCTTTTTTTTTTTTTTTTAAAGATTTTATTTATTTATTTGAGAGAGAGAATGAGATACAGAGAGCATGAGATGGGGGAGGGTCAGAGGGAGAAGCAGACTCCCTGCTGAGCAGGGAGCCCGATGCGGGACTCGATCCAGGGACTCCAGGATCATGACCTGAGCCGAAGGCAGTCGCTTAACCAACTGAGCCACCCAGGCGCCCAAGCTTCTGACTCTTGATTTCAACTGAGGTCATGATCTCAGGGTTGTGAGTCAGGCTCCACATTCAGTGGGAAGTCTGCTTGACTCTCCCTCTGCCCCTCTCCCTGCTGATGCGCCCATGCTCTCTCTCTAAAATAAATAAATAAATCTTTAAAAAAGATTTCCCTTTTACAACATCCATATTTACTATTTGAGAAATATGGTTTCTATTTCTTTTTAAAGATCTTATTTATGGGGGCCTGGGTGGCTCAGTCATTAAGTGTCTGCCTTCGGCTCAGGTCATGATCCCAGGGTCCTGGGATTGAGTCCCGCATCGGGCTCCCTGCTCAGTGGGGAGCCTGCTTCTCCCTCTCCCACTCCCCCTGCTGTGTTCCCTCTCTTGCTGTCTCTCTCTGTCAAATAAATAAATAAAATCTTAAAAAAAAAAAAAAAAGTAAAGATTTTATTTATTTATTTGAGAGAGAGAGAGAACAAGCTGGGGGTAGGGGCAGAGGAAAAGGGAGAAGCAGACTCCCCACTGAGCAGGGAGCCCGATGATGTGGGGCTCGATCCCAGGACCCTGGGATCATGACCTGAGCTGAAGGCAGACGTTTAACCAACTGAACTGCCCAGGTGCCTTGAGAAATATAGTTTCTATTTTTTTTTTTTTAAGATTTTATTTATTTGAGAGAGAGAGCAACCAAGAGAGAGCACAAGCAGGAGGAAGGGCAGAGGGAGAAGCAGACTCCCTGCTCAGCAGGGAGCCCGATGTGGGACTCGATCCCGGCACCGGGATCATGACCTGAGCTGAAGGCAGAGGCTTAACCGACTAAGCCACCCAGACACCCCGAAATATGGTTTCTAAATACTGAAATATTTCCAATGTATAGATTTTCATCGAAACATTACATGCATTAAAGTTTGTTTTACCTTGTGGACACTTCAAAACCCGCTTCTCTATCATTCTATCATTTTCTAATATTGTTTATCCATCAGATTTCTTTTTACAGTAAAAAAATTTTCAACCAAGAGTAACAAACAGTGTCCCATTACTAATAACAGCCATTCCATCATCTGTTAGTCACCCATTTATCCAATAATATATATTCATCACCTAATTCTAACACATTTCCATCACCACCCCCCCCCAACCTCGAAAAAACTCATAGTCATTCATAGTCACTCCCCATTCTCCTCTCACCCACTGGCAACCACTACTCTACTTTCTGTTTCTATGAATTTGCCTATTCATAGGCATTTCATACAAATGGAGTCACACAAAATGTGGCCTTTTGTGTCTGGCTTCTTTCACTACATAGAATGTTTTCAATGCCATAACATGTATCAGTACTTCATTCATTCTTATGACTGAATAATATTTCATTGTATGGATATATCACATTTCATTTATCCATCAGTTGACAGGCCATTCAGGTTGTTTCTATTTCTTAATTATTATGGATAATACTATAAGGAATGATTCCTTTTTTTTAAAAAAACGTACTATTTTAAAAGTTCCCACTTTTACTAGGTGGTGGTTAAACAAGTTTATACAGATATAAAATTTCACAGAGCTTGATAGTATAATAATCATTAAATTCCCCTATCAGAAATCTAAAAGAAGAAATACAGGATTAGGGCTGTGGATTTGTAATTTTTCTTGTCTTACTATCTTTTTTTTTCAACACCCAAATATCCAGGCCCAATCTAAAGTGCATGGCTAGGCTGGAGCCTATATTTATAAGCATTAAGAATGATTACCCTCATCATCCTCCTCTTCTGAGTCTGGTGCTTCGTTATCCTCCTGATCAAATCCATCTAAGTAAGTGATTTGCTGCAGCAGTTCAAAAATACTTTCTCTGTAATCTTCCAGGTTTGTGATCTCACAGTTAAACAAGTCAAGACTTTTCAAATTTTTAAGATTTTGCTGGAAAAGTAAAAAGTTAAAACTTACATTTTGAGATTTTAAATACTATGTTATTTCTTTTTAATTCATGAACCAGAAAACATATATTTGAAATCAAAAGGCTGATTTTTGGATTTTTCAAATTTTATAATGAAGGGCTATTGTATCAATTATTTCTTTTTTTAAAGATTTTATTTATTTATTTGAGAGAGTGAGCAAGCGAGCGAGCATGACGGGGGTGGGGAGAAGAGAAGAAGGGAAGCAGGATCCCCACTGAGCAGGAAGCGTGATGTGGGGCTTGATCCCAGGACCTCAGGATCAAGACCTGAGCCAAAGGCAGACGCTCAACCAACTGAGCCACCCAGGCGCCCCCCACATCAATTCTCTTAAGGAGGCCCTGTACATAAACTCCGCAAGAGTAGGAACTTTGTTTTGTTCACCACTGAATCTCCAGCACCTCGCTTAGTGCCTTACTATAGTAGCCACTCAATGTATTTTGTTGACCAGATATGTGCATAAATAGGCAACAACAATAATGTGGTTAGCTTAAATCCTGTCAAGCTTGTTGTCAATACTTTCAACCTCCTCCTCCCAAGCTTTTTTAAAATTGGAGCAACAATTTTCTGAGTTTCACTTCATCTCATACCAGGAAACAAAGGAGCAAATAATAAAATAACTCAAAAAACAAAAAAAATCAAGAAGGAAGGAAAAAGAATAGAATTTAAGAAAATACTGGGAAGTTTGAAACCAGATATTCAACTCCTGAAGTTAACGATAAAATAAATTTCTCACAGATTTATCTGAATGTTTTACTCTAAGAGAAAGGAAAGCAATAACCATCTAGATAAAAACATATAAGAAATTTCAGAAGTTTCAAAGAGTGAAATATAAATCAGTAAAATAAAACACAAGCAAATCTCAGAAAATCAACCAAAAAAGAGCAAGTCCAGAGACCTTCCACTCACCAGAGCTTCTACTGTACTGAGATCTTTGATTTTGTTTCCACTCAGATTGAGGTAGGTAAGATTTGGACATTTCTCTGCCAGGACTTCCAAACCTCCAGAAATTATATTGTCACTAAGTTCCAACTATATATTCAACATGGAGAAAAAACAAACAATGGTGAAAGCTTAGGGCAGATCAGATTTTTTTTTAAGTTTTTTTATTTTTTTAAATAACCTCTACACCCCATGTGGGGCTCAAACCTACAACCCCGAGATCAAGAGTCGCATGCTCTTCTGACTGAGCTAACCAGGCATCCCCAGATTTTTAAAATATATCAATCTGAAGAAGAAAAACAACTGTCATTCTCTCTGGCTTCAAGAGACTGTCACAAATTATTAACTTCCAAACTCCCACCTATAATCACCAAATAATATATTAGAAATCCTACATAACAAGCTTCTAAGTTTGGCTCCAGATGTGTTACAGATAGATTTTATGTTTCAGAGAAAAACATTTGATAGATATTAAACCCAAATTCATGTCAAACACAATTTCATTATTAAGTTTAAATTTCTAAAAGCGGTATTAGAGCTGATTCTAAAATCCTACATAACCCATTTTCTTATCTCTAGAAATTTAGAATCTTCTAATTAAAAGGCAGAATGGTTGTTTCATTTGGCCAAAACCTAGACATATTAGCCCTTGGCATCAAAATTATGATGATTTCACACTTAATACCAACTTACCTTTCGAAGTTTATTTAAGCTAGGCAACCGGGCCAGTGAACTTAGTTCCACATTAGCCATACTCAGAAACTCTAGTTTTTTAAAAGTATCATTCAGGCCTTCAATTTCCCCATTGACACACAGGCAATTATCAAGGACTAACTCTGTCACCTGTAAGACAGAAAATGAATGATTCTTTACTTCGCAGTCTGTTTAGCAAAAGACCTGGGTCAAGACACACTGGAAATGTGAATATTAAAACCATCAATCCCATTACAAAGATTCTTTCTCTCCTCCCCCACCAAAAACTGAAAGACAACCTAAAGTCATCATTATAAGTTAACCTTTTAAATTTAAACTTAGACCAAGAAGTTCAATGCCTGCTCAAATCACTGATGCATAAAAAATAAAACTTTGAAAAAGGTCCCATGTGAAACTTACTTCTGCCCCTGATGAGGATTCTCAATATTAGGGCATATATTTATGCAGTGAGGGGATGACTAGGCTACTGGGAAAGGGTTCAAGTGAGCTGCCCTAAAACAGCAGGGAGAAAAAAGGAAACTATTTTATTCACGTTTCAAGTTTAAACCCCCTTATCTTTGGTTGATAAATGCCACCATAACTCAAAAATACCTTGTTACCCTTCATGAAGAAATGTTAGAAAGCTCATTCTGAGAAAGCTGGCTAAGGGAGGTTATTTGTTCTTAATAGCAGGGCCAAACAATGTGACCCAGAACAATACATCCTTGACAAAATGTTATTTCTCTGTAACACCCTGGTAGCATTTTGCGGACTTTTCCCTATGGTGGGGGGGGGGGGGGTGCATCCTCCTATTAGGTCAGAGCTGTAGAACAAAACTTGCTGGTGTGCACCTAAAAGGACTTAATCTAAGGGGGAGACAGGAGACCCTGGATCTCTACTCCCAATGCAAAAATATGTCTGAGGAATTTTGAGGGCTAAAAACTTAACAAGGAATGCCACCTTCTCTATCTGAATATGACTTTGAAATAATTATTTGAGAGACCAGAGAAGGCCTATGATCTCCTGTTTAGAGGTAAGGAAGCCAAGGCCCAAAGGGTAAGAATAAGAATGACTTGGCTAGGGTCATCCAGTTAGTATGACAGAGCTGTGCCTCCATTCTCAATCTTCTGACTCCTAGTCCAGCTGAGCGGAGGAGAACGCGGGTATTTGGCGTCAGAAAACCAGTTCTTCCACTTGAGTAAATAACTTCACTGCCCTGGGACTCGGTTTGCTAATTTGGATTCTACAACAATACAATCCACCTTACAAGTCTGTCCGAAGGAGAAAAGTAAATGATAAACACAGTAAGTGTTTTGTAAACTGTAAAGAGCTATACAAATATAAGAGACCGTTATTACACCATAGGGGAGGAAGGAGAGGCTGCAAAAAGGCAACCTCTGGCACTCCCCAAAATTGGAAAGGAAACTACTACTGGTAGGGTAGGTAAATGAAAGAGGGTAAAGGGGGAGCAAATCTACTTTTCCAACCCAAGACATACAAAAGCATTCTAAATGTGTGCTCCTGAGAGGCAGTTTTTAAAGTCTGATTTTGTTTTCCTGAAGCCCCCAAAGAGTAGGCCCTAGAAAACTCCCAGATCTCTCTGGGATGATAGTAGCGACTGTTTCCTTCTCCTTGCCCTTTGCTAATTTCAGGGATACATAAAGAAAACAAAGTACATGAAGACCTTGGGTTCCCACTCCGCACGCCGCCACAGCCCCCCCCACAGACCCTACTCATCTTCTGCGCTGGTTTGCACAGGCACCACCCCCGCCCCTGCTGAAAACAACTACATCCCTGATATTCCACTTCGAGTGTTTATTTCAGAGGCCGCAATTAACAAGACTCTTGACGCTTTTCCCTGCGGTCTGAAGTGCGAGGTTCCTCGCTGGCCACCCGCCCCGCTCTTGCGACCAGCCGCTCCGACCCACGGAAAACCCCACAGGCGGCGGGGACTCCTCAAGAGAAAGACGGGTCGCCTCCCGGGCCGGGTTCCCAGCCCCTCCGCCCCGGGCGGGAAGGGCTGGGGGAAGCCGAGAAGGCGCCCTCGAAAAGGAGGCGGAAACGCCTCCCGTCCGACCCCCGAAAAGTTGACCGCGACCAGCCTCACGTGGCCCCTCCCAAGGCCGTCTCTTTAACTAAGGCGACAGCAGCAAGAGCGCATCATTTAGTTTCGCCGAATCCATCTTTAAAGCACAGAACTACTACGACCGATTTGTTGAGTTTTGTGAAAGCTTCTCCAGGGATCAAATTCGGAGTTGCGGCCACTACGATACGACACGCCGAATATCGTCACACCGCGGGGGCACGAAGAGGATTACGCCTCGCGTCCCCTCCCCACCTCCGGTCTCTGCGACGACTCCCAAAACTTACCCGCGGCCGGGGAAGCGACCGCTGACCCAGATTCCGCCCGGCGGCGGTCGGCGCGCGCCGCTTCCCGGGGGAGTGGGCGCCGCCGGCCGCGGGCGGTCCTCAGACCCCGCCAGGGACCCCAGCCCGCGCCCGGCGCGACGTCACACACCCGCGGCCTCGAGCCCGGGGACACCCCCCAAAAAAGAAAGAGTTGGCAGCACTGCAGAAAAGTTAGACTAACTTCTCAGGTGACGACGGCTGCGGCAGGGGCGAGTGGGACTGGGGGGTCGCGCCCACGCCGCCGGCGCCTGGGAGGAGGAGGGAACCAAGCGGCGGAGCGGCCCCCAGCACTCCGCTTCCCGCCCCCACCAGGCCTGGACTCCCGACCTGAAGAGAGCCTAAAGAGGCTAAGCCCCCAGCCACACAAAAACGCCCCTAGAAACTTAAACCCTTCGCCATTTTAAGTAGATTTTAATGATTTAACACTTAAAATTAAATATCCCCCCCAACCCTAACCCCAGGTGGGGGTTAATTCATTACCCCTCCCCACACACCCACCCGACCCCCAGCAACCCGATCCTCTGAATACAGGTCTGGTGGGGAAGGGGAGGGGGCTGAGTCATCTCACCTCCTCCGGGGCTCTGTTCCTTAACTCCAGGTTAATCCTCTTTTTCATCTCCATGTCCTCCTCCTGCTCTTCTGCTACTACTCCCTTCCCTTACCCTTTCCTGCCTTTCCCACTACCCCCAACCCTTAAATTTTAAAAGATTTGGAAATGAATGAAAAGAAAAGCAAATATAAACGCCCACCACCTCCAGATAGGTGTGGGGGAGAAAGAAGAGAATAGCAAATGGAGTCCAAGGAGTTGGGACTCTAACTCGGCTGCCCCCACCTCCTTGTCCACACACTCGCGCGCACTCACACGCACACACACACGCGCGCGCGCACACGCGCACACACACACACGCACACACACACACACGCGCGCGCGCGCACACACACACACACCGCAGTTCCTTCCCCTTCAATGGCTGCTCTGAGACTGAGCCTCCATGACACGGCACCGCCAACCCCCTGGCCTACACTCCACCCACCTTCCGAATGTATTGGTTAATTCTTTAGCATCACACTGTTTCATTGGGCTGCATTAATGTCCATCAGTCTTCAGGGTGGACCTGAACCAGAAGCGCTGTGTCTATTGGCTACGACCAAGCGCGCAGTTAACTCCGATAGGTCCGGGAGGGTGTTCGTCCTGGGGAAAAGATTTTGAATCCCAGTAGCCCCCCGCCTTTTCTTTGTGTGGTTGGCGCGCTTTCCCTAGGCGTTCGGACGGTTTTGATACCTGCTGGATTTGTTTTGTTTTTAGTGTGAAAGGGAGGGAGAAAGCATCCTTCTTATGTACCCAGGTTGCAGGACTCATAATCTGGCACACAAACACGCACCGGCTCTTGGCTGTTTTAAAGCACCTTGCGGCCAAGGTGCACATGAGCTTTCGTGGCACTGCCCGGCTGGGGATAAGCTTCTGGTGCAGAACCAGACGCGAGATAAAGATAGTATTTTAACTTCCAACATGAAGGACTGAACGTTTTTGAAAACAGTTGGGTGAATTATGTAAATTAGGCACCTTTAAACAAAACTAGCCTGGAGGAATTGTTACTGAGGTAATTGTTGCTGTAATAAACACCAAGACGTGGGAGGAAAAAACAGTGCTGGACTAGTGAAAATCAGACATTAATTCGCATAGAAATGGTACTGCAATGCTTCTCCTTTCTAATTTCCCTTTGGTCGGTTTCCTTGGATACCTGTAGGTTAAATGTGCTTTTAAAAGTCTATGAATGTGAGATATAAAAGAGCGGGATAAGAATGATCTTTTTTTTTTTTTAATTTTGTCTTGAGAGTCTAACTTCTTAGTTCTTGCTTAAATTTGTCCTTTCAATCCCTTACACCATTCTCCGGATAAATGCCCAAAGAAATTCCAAATGATTTGGGGAAGAAAGTGGGTGAATTAGTCCAACCCCTCTCAGAGTGGAGTGCTTGTTTGCTATGTTTTCGGTTTCTCCGGTTAGAGACCGTAGGGTTTCAAACAGACTCCTCAACACTTTGCCACTATCCCTCCTCCTCCCACACAGAGACACACAGCTCCTCAATTAGGCTTACGTTTAAAATGTAAATATTTGGTAGTTAGCATGTTAAATACTTTAAAGGAAAATAAAATAGTGATTGTCTTCTGGATAAGTGTTTCCTTTGAGTTCTTGAAAAGGAAATTTTGTGAAGATGAAAACGGGAGAGGGAGAGCTTTTGGTATAAAATGACATCTCTGCAGGGCAATTTGGAGTTAGTTAAGTTTGTTTTAACACGGGCTAAAGGAAGCCAGGATGATATGAAAACAACCAAAACAGATTGAGGACGAGTTAAAAAAAAAAAAAGGATAAAAAGAAACCTGAAAGCACATTTTAGTACCAGCTTGGGAAGAAGTGCTGTGGTCTCATCCCACCAGCCACTGGAACTCTGGAATGGAATCCCAAAGAGAGTTCAGGAAGGAGATTCAGATTTAGGAGTCATACACATATGAGTGATAGTTGAGGCTATGAGAAAAAAAATAAGATTCCCGTAGAGAATATATTTAATAAGGCTATCAGGCAAAGGGGAGAAAAATGTGATTGAGGGGAAAGAGGAGAGAGGGATTGTCTACCAAAGTAGTCGAAGAAACTGAGGAACAGGTAGAAAAGAATGAAGTGAATCCGGGGGCAGAAATGTATGGAAGCCAAAGAGTTTCAAGGAAGAGATGATTACTGAAGTTAAATGGTAGGACTTTATCAGAATATATTAGACAGAATGGGAGAGTATGTTGGAAGTAATGAATGTGAGGACAGGCCATGAATTCATTTCACCCTTGGATAATAGCTTCACAAAGCACACTGTAGTAAGCATAGACAGAGATCCACCAAACTGAACCTTCCCCTCATACCCTTGGTCTCCACCTTCATGTCATCTCTCATGTGCCCTACCTCAGTACCTTTAAACCTACCTCTTTCTAGTCTTAATCAAGAAGCCAGGATAAGAGGCTGGGGGAAGAAAGATTCTCCAGAGGGCTGGTGCTTGGAAAGAAAGGTGCCTGGGAAGAGGTTGGATGAAGAATATTACCAGGCTAGTAGGTGGGTGTATGGAGCTGAATGAAGGATGAAAAAATAAAATAGAGTCAGGAGAAAAGCCAAACTCATGAACTAGAACATGTTTTAAGCTGAAGTAATGAGGCAGAGTTTATTTTAAATGGTAGAATGAAAAGTGAGGTTAACTTATCAGGAGGTGGATGAAAGCAAAGGAGCAAGGAAAGGAATGAATGAGAGGGTGGCTCAGAACACTCTAATCCACCAATAAGAAGCATGCATCAGGATATTATTTAACTCAATATGCCTTTAATGTTCAAAAGCTAGACTCATCTTCTGCTGCTGAATATCTTCTGTTGCCCCTCCAGATCCACTCTTCACCCTGCTCTGTGACTCAAAACCCACAGAGTCCTATGACTTCCTGGGTTTGGTCCCTAGGAGAGAGCACTGGTAGGAGATCAGAAGTCTGGAGGACTGTAAGGATGGAGCATTTATTCCCCAACTTCCTCATGCCAAGTTGTGACAAGAAGGCTGAGTCTCTCTACCAAAAGCCGCAGATCCTGTGGTGACCACCATGATGTACCATCCAGATTTTCCTTCAGGAATGAAGGACTTATGGCCCCTGGAATCTTTTTTTTTTTTTTAAGTTTTTATTTATTTATTTGTCAGAGAGAGAAAGAAAGAGCACACGCAAGGGGAGCAGCAGGCAGAGGGGGAAGCAGGATTCCCCACTGAACAAGGAGCCTGATGCAGGGCTCAATCCCAGGACCCTAGGATCATGACCTGAGCCAAAGGCAGACACTTAACCGCCAGGTGTCCCTTATTCCCCCTGAAATCTTGAGTAAATAAAGCATGATTGTTATTTTAAACTACTCAGTTTCGAGGTGACTTATTACAATGGATAACTAAACAAGAGCAGTAGATAACTGGGTGCCTGGATGGTTCAATCGTTAAGCGTCTGCCTTCGGCTCAGGTCATGGTCCCAGGGTCCTGGGATCGAGTCCTGCATCGGGCTCCCTGCTCCACGGGAAGCCTGCTTCTCCCTCTCCCAGTCACCCTGCTTGTGTTCCTTCTCTCGCTGTGTCTCTCTCTGTCAAATAAATAAAATCTTTAAAAAAAAAAAAGAGCAATAGATAACTAAACAAGGTATACCCAAGGTCCTAAGATTAGTAATTTGTAAAGATAAATCTCAAATCCAGTTCCTGTGATCAAAGTCAAAATATTTTTCCAAAGGGGACCATTATAATCCTGTTTAATTCATGAATGCACAGAATGTTCTGCTCCCTGAAATATTCTTACTCCATACTGATGCCCAAAATGCCAGATATTTGATATTATGACCCCTGTTGAGATACAAAGACTCCAGGATAACTAATAAGTAAACTTGATTATTCTATTAAACCTTAGTTGGAGATATTTATCAGATTTGAGAAAAGATTTTGATTGACACCAATACTAAAAAATAATTGAACTACCCTACATCTTCCAGGAATGAATGAGAGGGTGGCTCAGAACACTCCAATTCAATTTTTCCAATTCTATTCTTTCTCTAATTTGAGATCCTTTTCACTTTAGGAATTGTTAGTAAATGCAGAAGTAGGAAGCATACACATTATTACAGTACATTTTTTATTATTGCTATGTAAAAAACAAATTTGGTGGAATAGCTGCAAAAATTTAAAATTTGTGGTTGAGATTTTCCAGTTTGAGTCACCTCTTTATATGTTAACATCGTACAACCTAGTTTTAACATTAACCAAAGTCAAACAAAATTAGAAGAGTAAGTCTCCCAGAAATAAATCCATATTGCAATAGCAAATACAAATGATTTAGATTTTGCAATCTAAGAATTATTGCATCACTGCATTCTCCCAGTAGCACAAGTAACAAATAGTTGTCTTAAAAGAAATTTGTAAACTTGGTAACAAAATTACTTCCAAAAAACTAACTTGAAACTTCTTTTTAAGAGGCAGAGAATTTGGGGTACCTGGGTGGCTCAGTCGGTTAAGCTTCTGCCTTCGGCTCAGGTCATGATCCCAGGACCCTAGGATCAAGGCCCGCATCGGTGAGCCTGCTTCTCCCTCTTCCTCTGATCCTTCTCCCGGCTTGTGCTCTCTCTCTCTGTCTCAGATAAATAAATAAAATCTTAAAAAAATACATAAAAGATAATGTATTTGTGAAAGTAAAAGAAAATAGTGCTATAAAAAAAACATTCATGGGGCACCGGGGTGGCTCGGTTGGATAGGCGTCTGCCTTCAGCTCAGGCCAAGATCTCCAGGTCCTGGGATTGAGTTCCGCATCAGGCTCCCTGCTCAGCGGGGAGTTTGCTCCTTCCTCTCCCTCTCCCTCTGCTTGTCTCCCCCCTCCCCATCTCATGCTCTCGCTCTCAAATAAATAAATAAAATCTTAAAAAAAAAAAAAAAGGAGGGTGCCTGGGTTGCTCAGTCCGTTAGGCGTCTGCCTTTGGCTCAGGTCATGATCCCGGGGTCCTGGGATTGAGTCCTGCGACGGGCTCCTTGCTCAGAAGGGAACTTGCAACTCCCTCTCCCTCTGCCTGCCCCTCTCTCTGCTTGTACTCTCTGTCTCTGTCAAAAAAAAAAAGAACATTCATGGAAGAAAGAGCTTATGAAAATTAAAAATATGAATGCAGAAATTAATAATTCAATAGGGGTAACAGATAAAGTTGAGCAAATCTCCCTGAAAATAGAATAATAAGCAAAAAGATGTGGGAGACTGGCTGGCTCAGTCAGCATGCAACTCTTGATCTTGGGGTGATGAGTTCAAGCACCAATTGGGTGCAGAGATTACTTAAAATAAATAAATAAGGAGTAAAAAGATGGAAAATAGAAGGAAAAAGTTGGGAATATTAGAGCCAGTCCAGAAGGTTCAACATACAATTAATAGGAGTTTCAGAAGAGAACATATAAAACAAAATTATCAAAGAAAAATGTGAGAAA